GAAAAGAGGCCAAAGGAAAAGGAAAGGACAGCCACAGCAACAAAGGAGAAGGATCGTTGCGCCATATGCTGGAAAACCGGCCATACCACTGAGAAGTGTTGGTTCAACTCAAAAGGCCAACCAAAGGGGAAGGGCAATAAAGGAGTTGCAGGTATCACTGAAGACAATACGTCAGTGGTCTCTGCAGGGCCATCTGCATCTCAAGTTGGTCGTCAAAGTATAATCACCCTTCCATCCACGACCACATCCAACAAAGGGAAGAACGTTGGAATGATCGGGGAACACCGACTTCTCATGGTTAAGGCCACCAGCAGCGGGCAACACCGCCATGTCTCACCAAAAGCCATTTTGGCCATACCAGAAGCCTCCACCTTTACTGGCAATGCCATTTTGGCAAAGGAATCTCTTGTAGCCAAGTTGGAAGCAAATTTGCCTACCAAGATCAACCTGGATGGCACGACCCTGATCCCAACACCAATTGCTAAGGTGTTTGTGGTGAAAGGCAAGAAGGGTGCCACACGAAAGTATGCAACACCAGGGTCACAGTATCCTGACTACACGTTTAGGTCAACGTGGCAGTGGAATGGAGAGTCCAACGCCTGGGATTGCAAGGAGTTCAGAAAGAAATGGCAGCTCCTGCATGAGCCACGCGAGACCTTTCAAGGCACCAGGGTATGGGCACTTCAAGTCTTCCAAAGAAGTGACACTGCACGAGTGGCCAAGGTTGCCAGCAGAGGCACACTGCTGGTGGACACAGGAGCTTGTTCTTCGGTCTGCAGACCTGAGGCTTTTCCAAGTGCTCTCTTGGACCCCAACGCCGTTGAGGAACTGTACACGGTGGATGACACTCCACTGAAGGCGTGCGGGGAAATCCGCCCTCAGCTCAGGCTTGGAGACAAGCTCAAAGAAGAAGCTCAAGTCACCTTTCAGGTGGTTGATGAACGAAAACGTCCTGTCAGTCAACAGGGCATTGGACATGGGAGCCAGTGTCCACTTTGAAAGTGACAACTGCTACATCCAATGGGCAGATGGCAGAAAAGCCACGTTTGCCAGGCAGGGCAAACAATTTCTCCTTCCTTTTGAAGAGTTGGAGCAACCTACCACCAGATATGGCAAGGTGGCAGCCATCGACGAAGCAGATGAAGATGCAATGGCAGTTCAAGCCTATGCCATGCAAGAGGATAAAGAAGCCGAGGCAGTGCAAGAATATGCCAGGCGCGAAGAAGAAGTGAGAAAGGCCAAGGAGCTTCTGGAACAAGACCCCGGTCTCTGGCAGACCTGGAGGAGGAAGCGGAACCCCCGCCACCTGTGGAGCCAGAGGGGTTGTCACAACCTATAAGCCCCACTGAGGCGCAGGTGGAATCCCACCGCCTTACACACCTGCCGTTTCAACCATGGTGTGAAGAGTGCGTGTCGGGTAAGGCCAAGCAAGATTGGCATAGGAGGGATCAACCCTCAGCACGTGAGGGAACAGGCCGCTGGCACTTCAACTTCCCAACAAGTCAAGCGAAGTAGCCCAGCCCAGGTACTGTCTACAGAATGTGGACCTCTACCTGAAGAACCTTGGGTACAACAAAGTCATTCTACAGCATGATGGCGAGCCCTCAATCAGAGCACTGGCTGAGTCAATCCAAAGACATGTTGGATCCTCTGTGCGGGAGTCTCCGCCCAAGCAGCACCAGTCACAAGGAGCTGTGGAATCCATGAGTGGGTTTGTAGCAAGCCAAATCCGAGCTTTGTGGCTCGACGTCAGGAAGCGGTATCCTTCCTTGGACGTGTCCAGCAACTTGACACCGTGGCTTGTGCACCACGCGGCATGGCTGATAGCACGTTTCCATGTGAGAGGAAAAGATGGGCTCACGCCCTACCGCCTGACAACTGGCAGCGACTACTCACACCCAGTCGCCATGCATGCTAGGCGAAGTAGTTCTAGGAAAAGTACCGACCGCCAGGGGCAAGATGCAGCGAAGGTGGATCAAAGGCATATGGCTAGGTAAGCTGGACAGAGACGATAGCAATGTGCTCGGCACGTCGTCTGGGGCAATCGCCGTGAGATCGGTGAGAAGACTGCCAAAGGAGTCGCAGACCAGTCAAGAGTTGATGAACGACATGAAAGGAATTCCTTGGCAACCCCGCGACGGGATGAGGCACAAGATCAACAGAGAGTTGTCACAGCCAGTGGCACTCCCAGCGCCAGCCGCAGCGGGTCCCACCGCGCTGGCATCAGAGCCCCCGGAGAAAGAACATCCGACACTGGCAGAAGATGGTCAAAATGTTGACCAGGATGGGTTAGTCGTGCAAGCCGCAGCCCAGCTGGAAGACCTACTTGGCGACCAAGCCGAGGACTTCCCAGCGGGTATCCCCCCGGACGACGACGACGCGCTAAGCTGCGTGCCCACCACGCCAGCAAGATCTGAAGCTGCAGATCCTACGCCGGCCCAAGGCCGAGCGGGCAGCCTCCGCCCTTCCGAGGTGCGGGATGGTCATCGTCGCTTCAAAGCCTTCCGGACGAACCGATGAGTCCGAGCGGACTTGGTCAAGGAGGAAAGCGAGTAAGAGATGATCAGGCAGCGCTTGCACCGGGACAAGCCGAAGCCAAGCAGTCCAGGCAAGCAGGTGTCTTGCAGCATTTGACAAATCACGAGATCTGGTCCCACATCCCAGAATGGGCCAACTCCGAAGACAAGAGCAATCCAATGGCTTTGCAAAGGATAGCCACAATGTGACGGATTTCGTCGACCAATTGCTCGACCCAGAGGAGGTTACCAAAGCGCGAAAAGTCTAACTTCAAAAGCTTTGGGAGCGAGGTGCCTTCACACCCGTGCACCGCCAAGAAATCCCAAAAGGTTCACAAATCTTCTCACACAAATGGGTTGACAAATCTTCTCACACAAGTGGGTTGACAAGTGTTCCAAAGGAGCATACAAGTCACGCTTCACATGCGCTGCTCGCTACACGGCAAGCGAGGAGGAGGGATTGGACGTGTTCGTTCCAACTCCAACCCCAGAAGCGCACAATCTTCTGGAAGTCTATGCTCTGACAAAGGGTTAGTACACCCGAAGTCTGGACATCGTCGCAGCCTTCTTGATTGGTGCTGACCGAGGAGCCAGCGAAGGGAAGCATGTCTACATGCGTGTGCCAGTTGAATGGCACGACATCTTCCTTGAGTGGCTAGAAACTCGCAGCCCCGAATTGAAGGATTGGTACAAGGATTCGTTCAAAGAACTTTTCTTCAGGTTGGATGGAAACCTGTACGGCAGAAGGACAGCCGGATCCGTCTATAGGAATGAGCTGGAGGAAATCCTCTGCTCAAGGGTTGATCCACAGCGGTATGCTTTCACTCGAGGTGAGAAAGATCCGTGTGTCTTCCGTTGTGACAAGTCAGGGGTCATCCTGATCTACCACATAGACGACATCCGTATGGCTGGACCGAAAGAAGCTGTAAATCACTTGGTTGAAGTCGAAATGCCGAAACACTGCGAGGTCCAAGCAGGAGAGCTCGAAAGCGAGGGAATAGCTGTTGAGTATCTGGGTCGCACCAAGGTACGAACCAAAGACGCTATCATCACGATACCAGATGAGAAGCACATCAAAGCTGTCATTGCTGCTGCGGGAATCTCCACCAGAGACCGCAGTGAGGTTCCTTCCAAACAACTGAACCTCTTAGAAACGGAGCCTCTTGGCGAGGCAGATGCCAAGCTTTATCGCTCGGCAGTGGGATCAGCGATCTACCTGTCGCTGGACAGGAGGGAGATCCAGTACGCGGTGAAAGAAGCAGCGCGACACATGTCGCAACCGCGAAAATGTGACACTTAGATGTGCTGCGTGCTTGCTAATGACTTAGGGTCTTTCACTTGCTACTATATACGTACTAAGTTGCTGCTAAGTAGTTGTGGCACTTAGCATGCTTATGTAAAAGTTAGCTAATTATGTTAAAGGTTCCTAATTTTTCTAAATGGATAACCATCCATGAGCTAAAAGCTAATTTTTAGCTAGTTTTGAAAATCTTGAAACATATTTTTCCCAACCATTTCCAACAGATGTAGAAGCAAACAAATACATTGGGAAAAGACATGTGATGCATCCCCACCCAGGGCAAGCTTGCATTTCTGCACTGAAAAAAATGTGAGAAGCCATTGTGAACTTTGGAAATTTACAAGCTTTTTTTTTGCAAGAAACAATTGTCATGATGACTAAATAGCATGCTGTCGTGCTGATGCTGTCATGGGCACCCATGCAATGCCATGTCAAACCATCAAATGTTGGAATTCATGTTAGAGCACCCAGTCCTGCCATGTCTTGAGGCTATTTATAAAGAGCACTTAGTGCTGCCATGTCTTGCAGGTTATGAGCACCCAGTGCTGTCATGTCTAGCATGTTAGAGCAAAAACAATGCTGTATGTTAGAGAACCCAATGCTGCCATTATATATATATATGCAATATATATATATATATGCAATATATATATATATACAATATATATATACAATATATATATATATATTAGAGCACCCAGTGCTGCCATGTTAGAGCACCCAGTGCTGCCATCATGTCTTGCATAAAGGGCACCCATGCAGTGATGCCATGCCTTGCATGTTAGAGCACCCAGTGCTGCCATGCTTTGCATGTTAGAGCATCCAATTCTGTTTGCAAACTCTTTGAGCATTTGTGCTATATATATGTCACTTTTGTTTTCTGCTGTTTGCAAGGAGCACATAGTGCTGGCAATGTGTACCATATAGCACCTTTTAGTGCTTTCATGCCTGTGCCAATATGAAGCACCCAGTGCTGCCTCCCAAGCCCTTGTGAAACTCAGCTTGTGCTTGTGTTGCATGTGGCATGCTTGTCCAAGAGCATGCATGGGAAAAGCATATGCAAAGCATTGCATGCATCACAGCAGAACCTTTGGACACAATTCAGCACCAAGCAGGCATTGAAACTGCTTTTTCACAGTTTGCACAGACATATAGCTGCCTTACAAATTTCTTAAGCCCTCAAGATGGATGCTGCCTTGGTGAAGCAGGTCACTGCCTTGAAGGATGACCCTCACTTGCCCATCAACCTGAAATGGACACAGATCAAAGCTTTGCTGAAAGGGGCTGGGCTTCTCTGGACTTCCCAAGAGAAGCCACAAGCCTTTCTGTGCCACCCAAGTAACCGTGGTGGACTCATGCTGTCATGGCATGACATGCATGCAAAGGGTGGTGCAATTCTTTCTCTAGGCTTTGACAAGGAAAAGCTGCAAAGGAGTGTTGCTTTTGAGATAGCAGCTGATGCTGCAACCAGGGCCAGACAGTTCTTAGCCAACAAGGAACTCACAAAGCAAGCACAAGGGCTGGTGGCCCCTGTGACTGGGGCTGAGCGGTTTTTGACTGTGGCTTCCTCTCATGTATGTGGGTTTTTCAGGGCTGTCCTTGCAGGTTGCAGGACAGAGGAGCGAGCAATGGCATCCTTTCCCTGGATGCATGCAGTGCTGCACCCACTTCTGCTGATGGCAGCAGGGTGCATAACCCCTTCAAGTCTCTTTGCTTGGAGGGGTGGGAATGGGAAATCATATCCCAAGCAGTTGAGGCAGCCATACCAGACCTTCCAGCCTTTATACAACAGTGCTTGAACACAGAAAAATTCCATCTCCTTGCACCAGTCTGAATGTGAGGTGATGCAAACTGTTGCACACCTGTTTGCCCATGCTGAGAAAAAGGGGCAAGCAAACCTGAAGCAATGCTTGGAGCAGGCTTTGGCCAGCAAACCCAGGTGCAGTGGCTACATGGAGGCCATTGGCCATTACATCACCAACTATGGAGGTGGCAGTGATTTCTGTTGCATTGCTGTCCTTCAGCACATCAGCAGCTTTCCTGCAATAGGGATTTCTGCTTGTCAATGCCACATGACATGTTTACCATTCAATTTTGTGGTGCCTTGCCTTTGAGGTAAGAGCTTCAACACCAGCCTGCTGATAGGAGAAGAACTGATGTCATGCATCACCTTCTTGGAATTCAAGAGCAACCAGACTGTGTGCCCCTGGGTCAGGGCTTCTGCCTTGGCTTGCATAGTCAGCAGCCCAAAGAGTGTAGATGGCTTTGGAAAGATTTTGTCAAAGGCAGACTTGGAAAGGCTGAAAAGCCCACTGCTGAAGCCAACTGTGACTACTGCTGAAGAGCTCTTGAGCTTGAACTGGAACTTGCTGCAGGAGCAAACCTTTGCTAAGAGTCCTGAAGGCTTGTCCCTCATGGGCAGATGCATGGTTCGCATGATGCTGCACCTGACAAAGAAGGAAGCAAAGGGCAGGGACACTACAGTGTGTCCAGATCTTGCTGCTATCTCCTCACTTTTTGGACAAGAGCTGCTTGAACTACAGCAGGGCAAAGGCTCTGTGGCCAAGCCACAAGCTGGAAGTGGCCAACAAGACCAACCAGTGCAACCACAATCCTTGGAGGGCTTTCTTGTTCTTTGAGTGTTTGCTTTTCTTCCTCAAAAGATTGTATGCCTAAGGTTTGATAGCTGTTGCTTCCAAGGCACACTTAGGTTGGACACCTCCAGGTGGGCAAGGCCAGCACACTGCATGGAGCATGATGCAGGATTCTCACAACATGGTTCACCTGCTGCAGCAGAAGCACAAGCTGGAAGTGGGGTCTCTTTACTTCTACAGACCCAAAGGCTTCAAAGGTGATGTGGCTGCCAAGCTCTCGGAATTTGTGAGCTTGGATGGCAATGGTGCCAAATTCAAGCATGCCCCTTTGATTGGGGTGCCAGAGACCATGGACTTGGAGCATGATGACTTGAAGAGGCGGAAACTTTTTGAGAAGAAGCCACCAGTGGCACTGACAGAAGCTGACCAAGCTAAGCTGGACCCTCTCACCTCTCAACAAATGAAGGATGAAGTTTCCAGCGCTGAAGCACAGAGTGCTTTGTGGAAGTACTACCAAGAGCAACTTGGCTGAGCTTTCATTTTTGGCTTGGTCCTTCCAAATGGTCAGTTTTGGTTTGTGAAGCTGCTCATTCTTGTGTAATCACAGCCCAGGCATGCTTCTGAACAACATGCAGATTTCCTTTTTGCAGCTCACTTTGGTGGTGTGCTGAGCAAGAAACCCTTTGCCAAGAACAAGCTGAAGCTTTTTCCAATTGGGGCCTTCCTGCTCACCAAAGAGGCAAAGCCTTCCATGGCCATAGTGGCAGGGCATGGCCTGCAGCTGCAAGTGCAGCCACCCAAAGTTGATATGGACAATGTGGCTGGTGCTGCTGTGCCTTTCTTTTTTGTCAAGGGCACCACTGAAGCTGCAAAAGCAAACATGGAGTTTACCACTGTCAAGGTGGGGGAATGGCAGGTCCCTGTCTGCAAAAACAAAGAGAAAATTGATGTTGGGGACCAGCTTTTGTTCTACAGCCCAAAAGAAGAGGGTCAGCAGCAGCAGCCCACCAAGAAGCAAAAGACTTGAATCTTTTGTTGTTGCTGCTGTGAGCACTTTGTGCTGCTAATGTGAGCTCTTTGTGCTGCTGCTGTGAGCACTTTGTGCTGCTACTGTGAGCACTCTGTGCTGCTGTGAACAGTGTGTGTTTCCTGAGCACCTTGTGCTGGGCACCTTGTGCTTAGCATCTGTGTAAAAAGACAATTTTGCAAGCATTTGCAGCAAGCAAAGCAAGACGATAAAGGTGCCCACAAGCTAGCACCCCAGCCAGCAAATGCACAAGTCTTTTTGCTCAACTTTTGTGGCATGCACCAGGGCTGTGATGAAAAAATGCAAATTGGCAAAGTTGCAGTGTTGCTTTGCCTGCAAGACTTGACAAAAAATGTTTTGTCACATGTTGGGGACACAAGCATGGTTGCAGTGCTTTTGGCTTTCAAGCTGCAAATGTAGCAACAATGCCTGCTGATGAACCTTCTGAGCCCCCTTCTGCTTTTGCAGATTTGGATTCTGAAGAGTCTACACAGCTGGATGAAAATGAAAATAGTCAGGTTGAAGTCAGAAAGGGTGGTATGCCCACTTGGCATGGCTTGGGTATAGGTGGTGACCCTCTGACATATTCCAACAGCCTGGACCTTCTCAGTGAGGACCAGAAAGAAATTGTTGCTCTGGTGAAAGCACATGGCATTGTGAAAGCCATGGAAATGAAAGGTTTGTGCAAGAAAAGAAAAAGGCAAGATACTGCGTCACAATAAAGCATGGCAAACAAGCTTGGCTCCACAGAATGAACAGCAACTCCCAACTCTATAGGAGTTGGTGCTGAAATCTTGAAAGGGAAAACATTGCTTTGCATGCAGCAACAGAAAAGCAATGTCAAGATGCAGCAAGAACTATGTATGCCTGCACATGCTTTTTCCCCTTTGCATGGTTGCTGGCTTTTGGCTCTAAAACAAGAGTGGCAAATTGCTTGCACTTTGTGAGCACACAGTGCTGTACTTCAGAGCACTGCCAAGCCCCTTTGTGAGCAAAATTTTGCTTTAAACCTGCTTGAGCACACAGTGCTGGGGAAAGCCCACTGAAGTACCAATGGCAAAGCTAAGCAGAGTTCTCACCATTTCTTTGGATGGTAGGAAGCCAATTTTGATTCCAGATGATCTTTTGGTTTCCAATGAACATGGTGGTTTTTTGAAGTTCAGGGCATCTTCACCTAAGTTGTTGCAGCTTCTGTGTGGCTTGCCCAAAAAAACAATTCTTTGACTGACTCCAGCCTCTTGCAAGGGCTGAAAGACAAAAGAGATTCAGCTTTGGAACAGCTTTTGAATCCAGACAACATTGGGCCTTGGCCTGGGTAACACAAAGGCCAAGGCCAAAAAGGTTCAGCAGAATGCCCAGCACATGGTTTCCATTGATGTAGATGGTGTTCCTGTCAGTGTCCTTTGCCCTTGCTTTAGGACAGGGCAAGCTGACCTGCAGGTGCTTGTGGATGAAAATATGCTCACAGCTGTTTTTCACCACCTCCTTCCTGATTGTGAAAACAAGGTAGCATCCCCCAAAGCCAAAAAGAAAGGCACCAAAAGACAAAGGGAAGAGTCACCTGTTCCAAGTCCTGAAGGCTCACAACAGGATTAGAGAGACAATGAAGCTTGGCAAAAGAAAAAAAGCAAAAAGAATGTGCAATGCAGTTCAGTTTTGAAAGCATGCATGTGTGCACAAACATGCAAGTATGCAAGGAGCAAGTTTGAATGAGAGGCATGTTGCAATGCACAATGTTTCACCCCACTGTTGTTTGAGTCTAAGTTGGTGCTGCATTTGTGGTGTTGAAAGACTTTGGCTCAAAAGGCCAAGCAAAAGTCTTGTGAAAGTGTTGGCTGTGCAGCTTAGCCTGTTTGCAAAGGCTTGCTGTGATTTTGTGCTGATTTTGTTTAGTGAACTTCACAAAGTCTTCAAATTGTTTTGTTGTATTTGTGCTTTCTGCTTGCAGGCCAAAGCTGCATGACCTTGAAGGCAGAGGACTCAGGGCTGGCAGTGCTTTACATGGCCAGCACTCCATGGTTTCCTTGCAAGTGGTTACATTTTCAATGAGGTTTCAAGTTCAAGAAAAGTGTCGCTCAGTTCAAGTGAGGCCTGTGTGTTTGATTCCATGTATATAGGTAGGTCTTATCACACAGGCATGCAGTTTGTATAAAAACAAAGCAAATAACATGTTTTGTAAAGCTGTGGTATGCCCAGGAAAGTAGCAGTGATTCTTCTGGCAACCCCAAGCAGGACTTCTGCAATTTTGTTAGCTGTGCATTATACCTGGTGAGCTGCTTACAGTGATCTTCATGTGCTTAGGCACCAATAGCAGTAGTGAGAGCACTCAGTGCTATTTATCTAATGTGTTTACCACATATTTCAAAGGATTGTCAGGGGTATAGGGAGCACACAGTGCTTTTTTTGGTTCAAGCAAAGGTTCGAATGTTGGAGCACTTAGTTCTTCTTTCAATGGTGTATGCATGTTTCAAGGAGAGCACTTGGTGCTGTGAGGAAAGGATATGGTCACAGTTTCCAATCCTCATTTCATAAAGAGCACATTGTGCTGCTAAAGGACCATATATTTAGATAAACTATGCTAGTTTTATTTGAAGAGCACCTAGTGCTGCAAACAAATCTATACTAAACTATTTGGTTTATGGCCCATATAGTGACATGTTCATCAAATCAAAAATGCAATGAGGAGAAGCTGTCTTTGACTTCACCTGCAGAACAAGCTCCTGAAGAAGAAGTCACCCCAGACAAGAAAGCTGCACCACCAATCCCTTGCCCAAACCTGCAGGGTAGTTGTTGTACCTCGGGTACATTGCAGGGGCCACTCAACAGTTAGTTTCAGCTGACTATGGGGATTTGCGGTGTGTTCACAAACTTCTTTCTTAAGATGATTCCAAGATGCGAGTTTTGAGGAAGTTTGAGGGTCTTGCTGGAAAATTCAAGGATTGTAGTATGCTTTCCCCGGGCTTCGCAATATGCTATGAAGGGAGCATAGGCATTGTTCAACTTCATTTCAATCTTTCCAAACCCAAGGTATCCGAAGTGGCACAACAAAATCAAACTGCTTGCAAGAAACCTTTTGCCAATGCCATCAATGCCGTATGTGTGGGCTGCTGATATTGCCTCTCATTTTTTGCACTTGCGCATTCAAATCCTTTACCTGTCAGGTTCGGTCTCATAAGCCGTTACCTGAAGCTGTTTTCTTTCAAGGGCCAAACGGCCACCGGATGCCCAACGAAGTGGGCCAAAAGCGAGGTGAAAAATGTGAAGGAGCTTCTTGGCTAAGGAGGCTTGGAAGCTGGTAGCCGGGGTCTGGTGGTTTGGCAGGGCATCATCAGGTTATGAGCCCAAAGCCTGCCACCACCGCGATGGACCCAATGATGCAAAGAGAAGGAATTGGAACAGGGCCAAAGGGAAATAGAAGCAGCTCAGAGAAGGTTGGATCAACAGGTGAAAGAAGAAGTAGCACTAGAAGATAAGAAGGCTGAAGGTGATTCTAAGGAGGCTCAGTCCCGTTTTCCGCCTGAGGAGAAAATGTAAAGGGTAAAAGCTTTAACTGAGGGTCCCCAGTTTTCAATAGCTGCACCACCTGAGGAGATCCGCCCTCTTGAGAATGCCACTGAGGAACCTGGAGTCACTAAGGAGACTAAGGTTGCAGTTTCCGCAGAAGGTGTGAAGAAGCAGGACAGCATGGGGTTGGGAGTTTGGAAAAAAGCGTAGCTCCTGTTTCAGACCCGAAGATGTCTGAACCTCCGCACATGTCCACGCCCATGACTCCTTTGTTTGATGAAAACCAATTGAGAAGGTTCCAAGAGCTGTATGCACAAGCACCATGGCTATATCCACAACATGTCCCTCAAGCCCCCTTGCCTCTGATGCCACCTGGGCAATTGATGCCTCCGGTCCAACGACCTCTCTTTCTTGAACAAGATGAACGGAGAATGCATGAGGAGGGCCGGATCGGGTCCAGTGGTTATTATGGACATGATAGAAGTATAGATGTAGATAGAGAAAATCAAGAGTTGAGGAAAAACATATAGGAAACAAATTGAGGGAAAATCAGTTTCTGAGGGAAAGGGTCGATGCTTTGGAGTTTCAAAAGATGGATGAAGACCAGCGGTGTGCGACTCCAAATTGCTCTGATGGCCAACTTGAAAGACCCACCAAAAAGGAGGCTGATAGACCCCCAAAGACCCCAAAGGAGGCCGAGACCACCAAGGGGGCCGATGGACAGGGGGCCGAGACCACCAAGGAGGCCGACAGACCCCCCGATGGAAGCGGCACAGGTTCTCAAAGATCAAAGGAGGCTGCAGACCCCCATTCAAAAGAAGCGAAAGCGTCAGCTGGAGATTCATCAGCTGCGTTCACCGAAAAGTCGTTGGAGTTTCTGTCCCTGATGATGGAATCTATGAAAGAGATGCAAAAGCGAATGAACGACTCCAAAGATGAGGCTGGCTTGGTGAAGGGTGTCGAAACCATCCGAACTGGCAGTCCTGATCTTCCTGTTCTAGCACCATGGGAAGCCCAACAAGGACCGTTGATCCTTGGCGATTGGCTGTTGCTGGCAAAGCCCATCATAGCCGACTTGTCCTTAACTGCAGGTGAATGGTGGCGAAGCACTGTCAAATCAGCTGAGGAGTGGTACAAGCTTCACATGAGTTTGAGCCCTTTGGAAAGAATCAAGCACCCCTGTCAAGCACCGCCTGAGATCACCATGGAAAAGTGGCAACGTGTTGAACGCCGAGTTTCTTCAATGATCCTTCAAGCAGTTCCCCAAAGTGTTCGTGATGAACTTGTTGTTTCAAGAAGAATGTCAACATTTGGGGTGGTAACGTATCTCTTGGTTGCCTACCTGGAGGAGTTTCTGAAAAACAAAACATCCAGAGGAGTTTAGAAGAGCCTCCGGAGATTCAGAATGTCATGGATGCGCCGATAGCACTGAGGCGAGAAATCGCGCAAAAGAAATCGGAGCTGTTCCTCCGGATCCAGCCCTACAACTGAAGGGGCTCCTCAAAATGTCAAAGAAGCAATTGGAAAGCCATCGAGAACTGCAGTTCAGAGTCTCCCTAGTCCGGTCTGGGCTTGGTGTGGACACTACACCAAATGATGTAAATCTGGAGCAGTTTGCATACCACCTTCTTGCTGAATTTGAACAGCTGGCTCTGACTGAGAAGAAGCCAGGAACATCCTCGGCCGCTGCCAAGGGTGAACAGCCGAAGCTGAAGTCTTTGGAAGCAGAGAAGTCAAAAGCAAAGAAAGGCGAAGAAGAGACTGGAAGGTCACCTACAAAAAGAGAAGATGGAAAGGACGAAAAGCCGAAATGACGTTTTTTCCTCACAGACCAAGGTTGCAGAAGGGGAAAGGCATGCAACTTTTCCCATGATGTCAAAGATGAAAAACGGGAGATGCTGGAATTGCGGTTGCCCTGATCATATGTCGCCAGCATGCACAAGACCGAAAAATTCGAATGACACCTCTCCGCAAAGGCCACGAATGCAGAAGGTTGAGGGGGAGGAGAAGTCACCATCAAGTTCAAAAGCCAAGGAGGACGAAGGAAGCTCAGAACAGGCTTCTATGAAAGACTTCTTGGAACAAGCGAATAAGATGTTGAAAAGCCTGACAACATCTGCGTCCGCCACTTCATCCACAACAAGTTCTGCAAATGAGCCAAGAGATGAAGTTGTTGACCGACTTCAGCAACAACTGAACTCGCTGAAGTTGAAGGTGTTCAAATTGAGCCAAGTTTCCTTTGGAAAATCACAAGGCCTTGTAGACTCAGGGGCTACTCATGCACTTCGTCCACTACGTCCTGTGGAACCCTTTGCAGGATACAAAACTGTGCCTGTGACCCTTGCGAATGGCCAACAAGCTCAACTGCGAATGACTCCAGGAGGCGTGATGGTCCCTGAGAGGGCTGATGCGGAGCCGATCTTACCAATGGGTTTGCTCATTGAAAAGCTTGGCTGCAAAATCGAATGGAATAGTGAAGGAGTTTGCCTTCGTCACCCACAGCGTGGCATTTTGCCAATCCAAGTTAGCGGTGGTTGCCCTCAAATGGCCAGGTCAACAACCCTTGAACTGATAGAGGAGTTGGAGCAGACTGCAACCCTGGGGAAAGTCGAAGAAAGAACCTTTAAAGAAGAAGTTGAATGGATGAAGAAGCTTGTAGAAACACATCCAGTTCTTCGACGTCTTCCACAAGATATAAAGTCCAGGTTAGCAGACGAGCCAACTTCATGGTCAACTTTGCCTGTGAACCGAAGAACCAGGAAGCGAATGCAGGAGAGGACTCTGGTTTTACTCTTGCCCGTGCATGGCATCAACAAGGAGGTGAAGCCTCCGCTCTGTTGGAGATTGACATCAAAAGAGGTTCACATCATGACCTTTCAACTGAAGTTGGACCCTATGCAGCGTTGATCAGAGCTGCACTGGAGAACAAGATCCACGCCATCGTCGGTGGCCCAAATTGCCGAAGCAGAAGTGTCTTGCGTCACTACAAGGTGCCTGGTCAGCCAAACTGTCCTCACAAACTTAAGAATGCATCCCAGATCGTAAGGTATTAGTTTGTAGGGGTTTGCCCTTCATGACTTTCAGAAATGCCTACCTGATCTCAGAAATGCCTAGGTGATTTGAAAATGACATAGGCATTTCTGAAATTTAGGTAGGCTAATCTGAAATTTGGTAGACTAATTTGTTGTCCAGAACGTTGTGCAAACAAATGTGGTTTCATATTTTTTTACAAAATATTTAAAAAAAACAAAATATGTTCAAACAGATAAAATCTAAAATATGGTAAAACGTTGATTGAACGTTTACCTGCTCACGATGCTAACACGTTGTGATTACGTTGGCCAGCTCAGTGTGCAGCTGAGTCATTTGTGTCAATTGTATGAACTGATGAGAGAAACTGGGCATGCATTTGACCTGTTTAGCATGGAAATTATGATTGCATGAACCACGTATGGTCCATCCATTTTCCATTTTTATCACCAAAATGGAATCACACCTTAACTTCGAGGCCTTAACTTCGAGCCTCAGGGTTGTCAATTTTGTCCTTGTTTGTTATTTGTTTGTCATATGCTGTCATTGTTGTCATTTTTGTGATCTTTTGTTGTCTTAAAACAATGAGTATCGATGTTGCTCCCAGAACATGAATGTCCCTTGTCAAAACACATAGATCTTGTTTAATATAATATTACTTATTAGGTTTGCATTTTCAAGCTTGCCTAAAAGTCAGGTATGCAAAATGTAGCGGTTATTTCCAGTACGAGTGTCGTGTAAAAGTGTCCCAGAAGAGTGTCACAAAATCATAGCAGGAGCGCCGCTCATTTATGGACACAGCCTGCCACTAATTTACGGACATAGCCTGCCACTAATCTATGGACATTACCTTCCAGTAATTTTTGGACATAACCTGCCACTACTTTATGGACACAACCTGCCAAGATTTTATCGACATAACCTGCCACTAATTGATTGGCATAGCAACTAATCTATGGGCATAACCTACCACTAATCTACAGACATAACGCCGAACCCGGATGGATCAGTCAACTCGGGCAGCAGCGTCTTGCGAGAGTGTCCACACCACAAGGTTGTCCCACAGGCTGCCACTAATTTCTGGACATACCCTGCCACTAATTGTACGGAGATAACCTGCCATTAATTTATGGACGTAACTTGCCACTAATTTGTGGGCATAACCTGCCACTAATTTATGGGCATAACTTGCCACTAATTTATTAATAGCTTCCCTTACCCCATTGTGTCACCCCCTTGTCTGTCAGAAGGGACGTCTTCATCCACTCCGCCGGGAGCCTTTAGGAGGGTTACAAGATTTGTTTTTATATATTTTTTATTTAGGATCCTTTTTCTGCAGGGTAGGATTTTTGTTCTTGGCATCCAGGTTCGTGGCTTCACTTGGTTAGCTAATACGGTTGTCTGCATCCTCACTTCATCTGGCCGTTGCCACTGTAATGCGTGTAGCGACAGAAGGGGGAGCTAGGATGATGAGGGGAGCGAAAGAACCAATAAGCAGACTAGTAATTTTCCGTTTGGTTTGGGACTTTGGGGGGCGCCTTTTTGACCTATTTTTGGAGCCCCTTTTTGGGGCTAAAAAGTCGCCCCTTTTTAATCCCCAAAGCAGTACCAAACCAACGGGAAAATTACCAAAGCAGACCCTCACACCCTAGAAACATCCTTTACGAAAAGGTTGAAAAAACTGTTTTCGTTTTATGGCTCAAGCGACGACGGCGACAGTGGAAGGAACAGCACTTGGAGTGCAAAGAGTGGCAAATCTTAGGCGACGCCATTTTTTCATCCCTTAGGGACACTAAATTTAGCATACCTCACTTCTAGGCAAGCCTAAACATGCATACCTAAACTCCATTAATTCCATTTAGGCACACTAAATTTAGCATACCTCACTTTTAGGCAGGCACTCTTGCCACGATACTCTTGTGGACACTCTCAGTTGACTGATACATCCATGGTCGGCGTTAAGGCCACAAATTAGTGGTAGGTTATGCCCATAAATTAGTGGCAGGTTACGTCCATAAATTCTTGGCCGGTTATGTCCATAAATTAATGGCAGGTCGCGTCCATAAACTATTGGCAGGTAATTTCCATAGAATAGTGGCAGGTTATGTCCATAAATTAGTGGCAGGCTATGGGACACTCTTGCGGGACAGCAAGAAACTCTTGCCACGACACTCTTGTGGACACTCTTGCAAGACACGGCTGCCCCGCTTGACAGATCCACCCGGTTTCGGCGTGATGCCCATAGATTGGTTGCAGGTTATGTTCATAAATTGGCAGGCTACGTCGGTAAATTACTGGCAGGTAATGTCCATATTCGTGGCAGGTTATGTGCATAAATTAGTGGCAGGTTGTGTCCATAAATTTAGGGCAGATTATGTCCATTAAATAGCAACACTTCTGCTATGATGCTATGACACAGTTTTGGGACACTCTTACAAGACGCTACTACTGGAGATGAGCGCTAAATTGAGCATACATGACATGCAGGCAGGCACTCTTGCCACGGCACTCTTGTATAAACTCTTTTCCAAATGTTTTCCATGTTGCAACCTTCAAGCTTTTTTCTGTAAGTATTCACGCTACGGTACTATAAGCAAAAACAGTGTTTCATGAAACTTTTCTGTAAGCATTCACGCTGCGGTACTATAAGCAAAAAACAGTGTTTCATCAAACTTTTCTGTAAGTATTCATGCTGCGGTACTATAAGCAAAAGCACCATTTCATCAATTTTTTTTTGTAAATATTCACATCTGTTTGCTTTCGGTTTCAAAAAGTTTGCAACAGCGTTACATTTTTTCATGCCTTTGGCACTGTCAGCAACTACCAGTTTGCTTCAAAATGTCTCAATCTGTCCCAATATGTCTCAAAATGTCTCAAAATGTCTCAAAATCAACTCAATTTTTCTCAAAACTCATTTTGAGACATTTTGAGCAATTTTGAGCAATTTTGAGCAATTTTGAGCGGATTTTTGGGGCAGGTATGAGACATTTTGAGACATTTTGAGTTGATTTTGAGCAATTTTGAGCAATTTTGAGCAATTTTGAGCGGATTTTTGGGGCAGGTATGAGACATTTTGAGACATTTTGAGTTGATGTTGAGCAATTTTGAGCGGATTTTTGGGGCAGGTATGAAACATTTTGAGACATTTTGAGTTGATTTTGAGCAATTTTGAGCAACTTTGAGCGATTTTGAGCGGAATTTGTTCGGCCAGCAATTTGTATATTTGAATAGTCCTTTCAGTCTACATGTCATTCCTGCACAATTGGAATTCACAAATTATGGAGATTGAAGCGTAGGTCGTAACGTTTTTGCCCATTTTATTTTAATATTTGTTTTAGTCTAGACGCAATCCTTAGGCCAATTTTGAGCAAACTTTTCTGGCCAGGCCCATTGCGTTTGAATACTTGTTTTGGTCTATAGCAGGCCATTTTCGGGCAATTGAAAAGATTTTGAGCAATTCTAACCACATACCATCCATATTTTATCCATCTATTATTCTCAATTTAGCGTCCATATAACACATTCAATATCCATTTGCGATCAACGTGTTATCCATAAGTTATCCATGTTTTATCCATGTATAGTATCCATTCATTGTCCATTTATTATCCGTTTAATCATTGTTTATCCATTTGTTGTCAATTGTTTATTCATGTATTTGGCATTAATCATGCATTGGATTTAGCTATTATCAATCTATCATCCATTAATTATCCATTTGCTACCCATATATCACCACATATTGTCTTGTGCTCGTCCGTTTGTTATCGATGTACTAGCAATTTATTTTCCATGTATTTTCCATTCTGTCATCATTGTTTCATCCATATGCCATACATATATCGTCCAATATTTTTTTTTATTGCTTCCATATATTATCAGTTTCCTTCCATAAAGTTTCACATTTCCGTCCAAATGTCCAAATATTATCCATTGTTCAGCCATTATATCCAGCTATTATCCATTTGGCTTTATGCATTATCCATGTACCATCCATGCTTTATCCATATAAGAATACTATCCCTTTTTTACCAATTGTTCATCCATGTGCTATCCATCGGAAATCCCTCCTCCAAGATGTTTAAAGTTGAAAAAAGGCAATGCGAAATCCCTCCTCCAACAAAAGGCCATCTTCTGGGACCAAAAGCAAGGGCAGCATTTTTCAGTATAGACTCAACATAAGGCCAGTATCTAGGACCAAAAGCAAAGTAGAAAGATAGGCCATACAAAATTCCTTGTCCAATCTGTTTGAAGTAGAAACAGGCAATACGAAATCCATTTATTTTTTTTATAAATTGAGTATCCATTTATAATCCGTTCATTTCCTGAGTTTCCATTTATTTCCAGTTGACTCGCCAAATATTTTCCAAATTAAATCAAATATGTAGATATTATCAATTTAGTGTCCACGTATTTTCTTTATATTATCCATTTATCATCCACTCATTTTCCATGTGTTATCAACGTATTTTTTACAACTTATCCGTTTATTATCCATACAGCATCGGAAACGACGTACGGCATGGAAAACAACAAATGCAACAAGACTATGCGCAAAATCCTCCACAAATAAAATAAAGTGCGACGTTGATTATTGAACATGCGTGTATTATTGTAAAAATACATCTACATATATATATATATATCTCTCTCTCTCAAATATATATATATATATATACATTTGTGTATATATGTTCCTTTTGCCCATTGCATGCCTACGCAGAATCACACATGTGTGCCAACATGTGTCAAAAAACGAGCCTTCAAAACAAACCTTACAAAACCACAGTCTCCACTGAAACTTTGTTCCCTTAACTAAAGTTTGTTTCTTGCGCAAACAAACCTCAATTACTGAAGAACAAACCTCAATTAAGGAAACACATCGTAATTAAGGTTTGTAAACATAAATGCCAATTAGTTAGTGCCTTTCTCAAAGGATAGGTATGTGTGCACGTCCACA